CCAGCCTATACATCGAGACTATTCAATACAAGCACAGATGTGAACCCCAAAAAGGAGCTGTTTTTAATTTTCGTACCTCGTATAGATGTGCTAACCGAAGGAGCACTGTTCCGTCATCTAGATCCTGATAAATCATTCACATCTGTAAGTAATTCATTGCTGAAATCAGAAGTTCAACAAAACTCATTACCTGAAGAGTGATAAGTGCAACATTAGGGGGTAAATTATAACCAGGGTCCATCAAAGTTTTTTCTGGGATATAAGAAGATTTCCAAGTTTCCTCAGCCTACAAAATTAGAGTAATTTATACCCATGCAACTCAACATTATTAAATTAGCTGAAATATGCTATGCCATTATATTATATTGGCGCTAATATATCATTTTAAAGTATGATATACCTCATGTGCAAATGCCAAAAGGAGAGGAGAGTAAATTTCTTGACCACTTGTCCGGCGCCACTGTGCTCCATCCCCTAACTGGTTTATGCTCAAATAATAATTGGCCCTAGCCTAGAGTATTAAATGAAGACATCAATATTCAAAGAATTTGGTTATAGTCTTGACAGTATTCTTCAGGAGGAGGAAAAAAACATCAAGCTCATATAAAAAAAATTGAAGCTGAGTGTGCTACGTGAATGATTATAAAATCTCTTAACTGGTAATAAATATAATATGAAAATAATGAGAACAACAATAAAATAATAACATATTAAAAATATAATCTGGAAAACCAAGTCTTTTAAAGGAGAAACAGAAAGAGACATGTACACTGAATTGAACAATAGTTACATGACCACAAAGTGGGTGTCACTGAAGAACATACAACCTTCATCTTGTACTCATAGAAATATAGTTATATATGTGTGAGCTTCCAATCAAAATAAATAATTTGGGCTTAAAAGGAATTTTATGGTCAAAAGAAGCAAACATGAAAAAGATTTCATGATGTAAATTACCATATAAATGGTTCAATTTAGTGCCCAGTAAACTGAAGGTATGCCTCAAGAGAAATTCCAATCATAAATTCCTCAGAGGCATGAATGGGGCACTTAGTTTCTAAAAGCTACAAGTCCTATGTTATCTGCAGCCAAAGTAAAGTTATCGAAACTTGTATAGAAGTTTATATGATTATAAATCATATCCTGAGATTAAATATTTAGTATATTAGCTTATTTGGTTATATTTTCATTGGCAACCAAAAGCTAAAAGATATACATAGAAGTTTCTTCCCTCCTCACTAATAAGAAAGATGAATATATCTTGCTTTTTCTATATGGGCCTTATAGGCAGCATCTCTAACCATTCCACTTTCAGCGTCCACATGGTGCATGGTCAATAAGCCTTATAATATTGCTGCCACTAGATCACATTTCATTTCTGATTATATATAGCAAAAGATCCAAGTGTTCACATTATATTTTAAGAAAATGAAGTCAAATCTTATTCAGCTATTTTTTCTACAAAGCTAATATGGCTGACCTTGTTGTTGTGTAAAGAAACGATTGACGGTCAAAACTTATGACAATAATAATCTTCAAAAACGATGCATTCTAACAAGAAATGTGATCATAGACAGAACAAGGTGGCTGGAAAAGTAAATCTGAACATGTAAACAAGATATGAAGAAATTGGAGAAACTGAAAATGAATTAATGGTGCATTTGTTACAATAAAAGTCTAGCATACCGTGAGCCCTTCACAAACATTATTATTATCTATGCAAATTTCCTCATCAAGAGGTTCTCCTACGCCTCTACCGTCATCAACAAGCAAGCGCCTTGCAGTGATAAATACTCTCAGTTAAAAATTATATCCAAGAAAATAAGAATGTGTGACAAGAATAACAATAAATAAATAAATAGCAAAAGGAACAAACCGGTGAAACATGATCTCTATTTCCCCATCTTGAATGCTAGAACCTCCAACAGCATGATCCACAAGGACCGAGAGCTCAGACTTTCCATCAGCTATAAATATTCCAAGATTGAGCTGAAAAAATAACCGATATACTAATCAATAACTTGATTTACGGATTCTATTTTTGATTAGTTCCTGTAAAGTCATTCCTTCGTGTACTTATCGGCACTGTAATGAATCTAACTTGCCTTGCCAAATCAGAAAGATCGACACACTTTTTAAATTTACTTACATTTTGTCCACATATTGATATTACATAAACAAGATCCAGCATTTGACAACCGGTCACCGAACTGAACCTTCATAATTATTTGACATTAGAGTAGTGACCAATGATGAATACACAAAAAGGAAAAAAATGATAACCGAGCTGCAAAGCAAGTGCTGTTCATATGATTAAAATATGTTCACATAAAGTGTTAATTTATCATCTCTAGGAAACTTAACTTTGAAGATAATTTTCTGTACTATTATTACAAAATGATATTTGAGGTATGTACTTTACTGTTATCTGCTGCATGCAGGGGCTTAATGCACATGATTCATGAGCTGTTAGAGTATGACTCATTCTAATTGCAAATTTTACTCAAAGAATCTCAATGAAACATTTTTATTGAATTTTAAATCTATTAACTTTTTCAACTATTTATTTTATTTATTTAAATTCTTAAAGAGTTTTATTTTCTATAACAGACTTTACATAACTCAATAGACAAACTAGATTAATATGTCCATATACAGTGAAACTTGCATATACTATATGCTGACAATTAGATATATTAGAAAAAAATTTAAGAAATATTCATTAATGCTGTTACAGTCACATCAATATCTGAACAATAATTTTGATTTTTTTCATTTTTTTGGAAAAACGCACTCTATTATAAAAGTACTTAAATTTTAACATGCATACTTTATCGATATTCAACGAAGCATACTCCACATGACATCACTTTTTTTGAAAAATGTCATAATGATATTTCTTTTCATACTTTATCATTCATTTTTTAATGATAATCATGTTGTTTTTACTCTGTTCCAATTTTTTGTAAATTTATAATCAATTACTACTTTATAGGTTATGTTAAAGTTTACCGAAATTTACCAAAATGAATTAGTTTGTGAATCTAAGAATATAAAATTTATTTACTTTATTTTAAATTATGTAACACCTTAGTTATAATATGAGGAAAAAAAGTTTTTTATACTAAGAAAGGTGTAATTGTATAATTTTTAAATGTCTT